GGGTACTATTCCTGGCAAGTAACACGTAATCGTAGGGAAATTTATCGCTATATTAATGCCTTGGTAAAGCCACCGAGACCCCGAGAACAATAAACCGATACTTTCCCGAGACCTCGGAAGGCGCAAATCTCGCCGTTTAATGGCGTTCGCACTTACGCTTAAGGAACTACCTGCGGTTAACAGGGTCGGACTCGGGTATAATTTCCGTTGTGGGTCCCCGTGCAATTTCGCAGCGTATTTCTCTTGGGGTGTCGGACAGATATTACGGATAAACGTTGGGGGAGAACACCACCAATTGACCTCGTACATTCGAACTCTCCATATGGACTCCCCCAATACCCTCCCTCCACATAGTATACCACTCATTTAATACCTCAAGAAATATTTACAGCAACCAAAAGATTTATGATTTTTTTGTTTATGTTCACATAAAAAAAAACTTCGTAATGATTCTAATTAAAAGTTAATCCCATAATTATATGCCACTTCGTAACATTTTTTACGAGTTGATAAATCACTTAATTTACGAGCAATTAAATCCAACAACGTACGTTGATTTAACCACCGGTGCGTGCAGTTTATCGCTTCACCTGTTTAGTTACTAGACACCGCTCTACAGACATCGTAGATATTTCCTTACGTTACAACGTCTAATTAAATACTTACGTATCGCTAACTTTACGGAAATATGACACAACGAATACGTCAATCACTATAAGAACTAAGTGGACAACAACATATTCATTAATAATTCTTTAAATCCGTAAAAGACACCTTCAGATTATTTTATAATTGCAAGAGAAGTTAGTTACATTAAAGGGGATGTTTTGAAAGTACTTCAAATACACCAGAAAACATAAAAAGCTTATTGGTGTGTGAGAAAATGGTATTAATCGATGGAAAACACTTTCAGATTATTTTATAAATACAAGAGAAGTTAATAACATTAAAAGGAATATTTTCTAGAAAATTCAAAAAGTTTTGAATATGGAAAAAGCTGATTGGTGTGAATCAAAACGGTTTTAATCAATCAAAAACATCTGTAGAAGACTCAGCAACAATGAAAAAATTAATAGTAAATTGATCTAGATGTTTTTAAAGTATTTAAAAGACATCAAAAAACATAAAAAGCTTATTGATGTGTGTCAAAATGGTACTAACCAATGGAAAACACCTTCAGATTATTTATTATTTTTATTGAGCAAAAAGTAGAACTAACACTAAACCCAAGTTGAATTCTATTTATGAGTACTAACATTTATATTTAATTATACTGATGTAAATAATATAATAAAACTGATCTTATTACTAAAAAAAAGTAAAATTCGTATAAATATTATTAAAATCTTTGAACCCAACGATAACCGATGAATTATTAGGAATCGCTTTTTGATTATAAAATATAAACAGCTAATTTAACTCGCATATATAAAAAAACTAAAAATGTTATCTTAATGGCGAAAAAGTTTTATTAATCGTTTCTGGTTTGCTCCGTTCATTGCAATTCGTTGGGATACTCGTAACTCACAATTTTGCAAATATTGTGTTACGCCGATAACCCCGTGCCTCTCTTTTAATTAATGTTATGGAAGCCGTCCATAACTCACGCTGCGCGTTCAGAGATTTTTTTTATTTTCGTTCAGCGCTATGCAATACACTCGGGTGTCGTTTAATACGCTTTAAATAAACCGCGCCGAGTGAAATTAAACTGTGGCCAAAATGGACGTATATAAAACGAATACGAAGAGATATTTATTGGTTAATAAAATGGGATTGAGATGACTAATAACAATAAGATATTTTGGAAATGAATCCTTTTTTTTAAGAGATACAGATATATTTTAATGTTGCAAACGTGGGAAGTTGACGTTTACGCTCGTTTAATTGGTTTATTTACTGCGCTCGAAACTTAAAGTTTGCGCAAACGGCATTGACACACATTTTTACGACGCCATTTATCACGATCATAAATATTAATGATGTTCGACGAAGCCGGGTCTTTTTTTTACGAGCGGATGAAAAGTGCAACATTAAATCAACCGTATATACAAATTGATTTATCGCAGGATACTCTCATAAAGGCCGAATTGTCGCTAAAAATAACCCGAGTAAACAAAAAAAAACTATAATTAACTACTCGACGTCTCGATACACTCCACTTATTTTATTAACATAAAGTTACTTTGGTCCGCACCAGGTGCTTTTGAAGGGAAGAGAAGAGGGACATTATGCATGAACGAACATAATCAGTGCTGAACTAAGAGAACCGTAAATTTTTTTTTTGGATTTAAATGCGACGTGAACTGGTCCTTTTTAATGAGCTGCCGTCGGCAAATTATCGTCCCGAAGTGGCAATTAGGTTATTGTCGGCGAGAAAGTCTCTCACGAATTGCTGTAAATAATATATTTCTCAGACTTGATTGAGATAAATTAACGGGGCCTTTGGAAATAATACTTTTTTCTCAAATCATCTTGTGTGTTCTAATATAACTTTATGATATATAGTTTTAATAGTATTTAATAGATGGCGGTCTTAATTCGTTCTTGAGTTAAGTACGCATTAATATCATTAAGGTTGGGATGGATCGGCTTTACCCATCAGGAACAAAATCGATTTTTTATCATTTTAAAATATAATAGTTTTAATAGAATTTAATAGATGGCGGTCTTAATTCGTTCTTTAGATAACTACGCATTAATGTCATTAAGGTTGGCATGGATCAGCTTAACCTATCAGGAACAAAATCCATTTTTTATTATTTTAAAATATAATGGTTTTAATAGAATTTAATAGATGGCGGTCTTAATTCGTTCTTGAGTTAACTTCGCATTAATGTCATTAAAGTTGGGATGGATCAACTTAACCCATAACGAACAAAATCTATTTTTTATCATTTTAAAATTCAGTTTATAATTTAAATTTAAAACAAATCAAATCGGTTATGAAATTTTATCACGTAATAAACGAGAATGTTTTAAATTGTATGAGTCATGGGGTGTTTTAATAATAACACACTTCAGTGTTTGCTGTTGATGTTTGCAACATTCACTATTGTTTGACGTTAATGTGACCGCTTGGAGAATTCTGTACAATAATAAACTAGAAACTTATACGATTCCACAAATAGAAACCGAAGCAGTCTGTCAATCTTTCACAAACACCGGTAGTAACCGGGTAATAATTTTCTTATTCGATATCCACAACGTAACGAACGATCGTAAAACGCGGTTTTATCGAATGGCCTCCTGTTTATAAACGCTGGGCGGAGTCGGGTCGCGAATAATAAATATTGCTTCTTTATGAGATTATGATCTGGGGCCGTAAAAATTACATTTTCACGAAAGCGGACTTTATTATCGTAAAGCAGTCGAGGTGTTATTTTCGTAATGGGCGATCCGGGCGGTGGTTTTAGTCGTCGGATCACGCTCGATCGCGATTCACAAATCGCTTCGGTTCCGGAGAATTAAGTGCCGCCACTCACGAGGACGATTTTATACCTTCCCATTTCATTCTTCAACTTTTCTATTTTAATCTATTTAAGAAAACTTTGAATTCATTTTCAAAATCATAAGAAAGCAGCTTCGAAACTTAATTTATACAATTTTATGGGATGGTGTCTCGAAGCGCATTTCGAAAAATAAATAAAAAAAATAATGAATCATAAAGATAATTGTGGATTTAAAAATGTCTTATAATCGTAATTTTTGTTTATTACAAATTCGAGTATCACTATGGGTCGTCATCACTGTATGGAAATAAAAACCCATAAAAGTTAGAAGTTCGTTCGTCAGTAGCCTGGATTTAATGGCATCACCGTATACTAATAGAAATACCAACTCGAATAGATATAAATTACATTAATGTATGGTAAACATTCATATATGTAAGCGTAAGAATCATAAATATGTCACTACCGTTGTCAAGTAAATGCCGATTAATGTGTTCTTGAGAAATCGTGGAGACGTCTCCGGTTAACCGCACGTTGGAGAAGGCGAAATAGAAAATGCACGAGTCGATTGTAAGAAAGAAATGGGCTTATTTGACGTGAGGACAGAGACGGACTCGAAGCGAGAGTAGGCATAAAATCAGCAGCTGCGCTATTCACGATCTATTCTTAGTGGAAGATGGATCGTCCTGCCAAGTTGTTAGCTTGTCCCAATTATTTTTGTTTTACGTCCCGATGAAATGGTTATATATTAAGGGATTTTTCAGTTTTTGGTTTATCGCTCTTTTCATAAACAAATCATTAAAGAAATAGGAATAAAAGTTAAAATTGTTCGAGTTAATTCAATAACAATTATTCTTTATATATTTCATATGTGGAAAGATGAGTTTAAAAATGATAGCAATAAAATTTATTTTACAGAAAAAGTTATTTATAAATCTGCATTAAATTTGTCCATTATATCTCAATTCGTTCCTAAGATACGATTTTTTTAAATTCAATTAAAAAATAATAAATTATGCAGCATTGAATTTAAAAAAATCATAACAATAAAGTTTATGGGAAATAAGGAATTATTTATGGTACAATATATCTTAATTAAAATTGCTTCAAAATGTTCTTTATTTCATCGTTATATCTCAATTCGTTCCTAAGATAGGATTTTTTTAAATTCAACTAAAAAAATAATAAATTATGCAGCATTGAATTTAAAAAAATCATAACAACGAAGTTTATCAGAAATAAGGAATTATTTATGGTACAATATATCTTAATTAAAATTGCTTCAAAATGTTCTTTATTTTATCGTTATATCTCAATTCGTTCTTAAGATACGCTTCTTTAAAGTAATATTTTTAAAATTTGTGATAATCAGATATGCAGAAATGGGGTTAAACAACGATCTTTATGAAAATTACGATTTTAAGATTCAGAATTAAATCGGTGAAGTTATAATTTAGGAAAAATATAAATAAAACCAAAAAGAATAAGTATACAATAACTTTAATCAATAAAAAAAGAAATTAAATAATAACACTTTGTATTGTAGGTACATTTTCATTTCTTTAACAATAAAAATATTTTTATTTCATTTTTTCTTTATACATATTACAAGAGTCACAATGATATGATTTGTAGTGTAGATTTTTTGTTTTAATTAATGTTTAACCATAAGAAACCGAATGAAGATCCGTATTACATTTATAAGCAAAAATAGTATTTTATTTTTTGCCATCAATTTTTTTTTACATCCACACGAATGAAAGAAAAATGATAATCGAACAAAAATACAAAGAACATTTTTGGCTTACCTCAAAACTCTATTTTTAATTAATTAATAAATTCATTTATACAAATTGAGAGCGGCACAACCATGAGACAACATTTCTGGATGCGAGTAATTATCATTGTTATTATTACACGGAAAACAGTACATTTACAATAATAATATATAATATTCTCATATATACCTATATATATATTTTATTATTATAGAATTGTATATACAACACACCTTCGAGCAAAATATACATCGCAATCATTAATTTATTAAGAAGTATTTTTTAAAAATTAATATCACACAGTCACAAGTTTACGATAAAAATTAATCTTTCTAGTTATTTTATTTTTAATCGTTTCTCGTGTTTAGCCCGTGTATTTTTCCTCTTTAATTTCCACTTCTTTCACAGTCACATTAATCTTTTTCTTGGGCGACTAGTTTTTTTATTTTTATTTATTTTAATCAAATTCATTTTCACAGTTTCTTTTTCACAGTCAAATCAACAATTTTCGTTTAAAATTATGGATGCATTCCGGGTGCCGCACCTAATCTAGGTCCATACAATGAATAAGGTGTTAAATATGGTGATAAACTTGGATGTCCAAGAGGAAAACTTGTTAACGGCGATGATGTTAACGTCGGTGGTAACAAGGACGGTTTACTGTAAGGATGATAACGAGCTGTTGCCAAAGGACTTAACGGTGGAGTTGGATATGTTCGGTGAAGAAGCGGGTGTGTTGCGGGAATCCCCGGTGCACTTAACATCGATAAAGCACTAGCTTCCGAAGTAACACTAGTATGGGTCCTCAAATGTGTTAAAAGTTCATCTGAACTCGAAAAACGTTTTCCACAATAAGAAGCATCACTCGAAATCCAATTGCACACGTACGGAAGATGTGAAGCGGCCGCTAAAGCTGCTAATTGAGCGTGGGCGTAAGCTGCAGCCGCTGGACTATGAGGAACATAACTTGCTTTCGATGTTGCGTGATCACATTGTGTGCACCCTGCTGGACACGAAGTTTTCGGTGTTTGTCCAAGAAGATGTGAACTTAAACCGCATCCTGTACAATATGGATCTCTACAAACGGGAACTAAATCTGGATTTTTTAATCTTGAATAATTCAGATAAGGTAACGATGATTTTAAAGCTGCCGCTGCGTGATGTTGAGACATTAAACTAGATGTCATCAAATCCATTCCAAGTGGAAGACCTGGCGGTGGATAAGCCCCCAAAAACGAGGACGTAGAAACCGGAATCGAACCAGGTTTAAAAGTCCCTAAAGGTAAATCTTTAATCGCCGGGTCACTACTGGAAGTTGCAATCGATGAAGTTAATGGTTTCGATGGAGACTGAGGGGATTTTCTTTCGGATGATTCCTTCGAAATCGTCTTTAAATCTTCCGCAACTTCGATTTGATTCGAGGCTGGAGTTTTTCTTTCTGAATTACTGGGGGAACTTCTTGGCGAAGTTGCACTTTGGTTGCTAGAACACCTTCCATTTGAAATTTGAGGGGTTTTTGCACCTAACGGTGTTCTTCGATTTGTTGATTTATCTTCGGGTGTTCTCGATTTTTCTCTTCCCTGATTTAAATCGAATTTCGATTTCGAATCGGATTTTTCTTTGTTATCCGATTTCGATTTGGATTTATCGGATGTTTGGAAAAGTTTGTTGTTGGTTGTATCAGCACCAATTTGGCTACAAGTTTGAGCTAATAACGCCAACGGACTTTTCTTTGCATCTAACTATAATAATAATAATAAAAAAAATAAATAAATTTTTTAAATTAAAAAAGAATATGTAGAAAAATACAACACATTTAGGATTTAACTTACCGTTGTTGGTAAAGGAGTTAAATATTCCGGTCTAATATACTGGTTGCTCGAAGTAATCATTTTGAAATAAAAAACTAATTCTTAGAAACACTTCACAAAGTATGTTTGATAAAAAAATGTTTGAAACAAAAAACTATGTACACACAGTTCTCTCTCTCTCGACGTTTTATCGCGTACTAATCGCTTGGGCACTATCTGGTCGACTTCGTGAACATGACTGACGCCAGAGTGGAAGGTAGTCGACAGGCGCGATCAGCAAAGTTGACGTCATGCGTCGTAGTTCTTTCATCCCCACCCTATTTTCTGATTTTCCCTTTCTGATCCGCTGTCCCGGAGTCGTGAGCTTTGACACTCCGGGCCACAGATCAACACGTCGACACCGCCTTCTTCAAATTTCTTCGTTTCTTCGATTTAATATTTAACGTTATAAATTTACAATTTCTCTTTTACGTTTATATAACAAGCAATAACATTCGTTGGATTAGTAATTGCGAAGCGGTTAACGGTTATTTTATGCGTATTTACTGTAGTAGCTAAGTGCTGAGGAAATTAATATTGAACGCGAGTCGAGAACCAAGAACTTTAATGAATGCTTGGTCTCTCTCGACTTGTATAATTGCCAAGGTGGGTCTTTTACGCCGTCAGACCGCAACCGCGATTTATGTTGTTGGATCACTTCGTTGGACGGTAATTAAGGTTGACTGGGTGTCACGTTAACACCAACTTGAGTATTATATTACTTAAGATGGAATTAAATTTTATTTACAATTGACCTAATTTATTTTTATTTATTTAATACTAAAAAGTCTTTGTTTAATTTTTATTATTATCAAATCTACTATCTTTTAATTTCAATTTGAGATGTAGAACTTTTCTTTATTTTCTTTATGGTCAGGGTGATTTTTTAAATTTATCCCTCAAAATGATAATGTAACACATTTTTTACTTCATCTCGATTTTTCTTGAATAAAATTTTAAGCGTCATTTTTTTTTATATTAATAAATAAGTTTAAGGCGATATTTCAAATTTATTTTTTACAATAACTCGATTTTTTTAAAATAGATTTTGAATCTACATAATATGTATATCATTTTGAAGAAGACTCTTTTATCTTTAATTTGAGATATAACTCGTTTTATTATTTTAATAAATAAGGTTGGGGCGATTTTTTAAATTTACACTCAAATCGAGTTTTTCGGTTAAAATCACAAGGTTCTACATTTTTTACTTTATCTCAATTTTTCTCAAATAGATTTTGAGTCTACATATATCATTTTAAAGAAGACTCTTTTAGCTTTAATTTGAGATATAACTCGGCTTTTTATTTTAATAAATAAGGTAGGAGTGATTTTTTAAATTTACCCTAAAATCGGGTTTTTATGTTAAAATTGCAAGGTGCTACGTTTTTTACTTTATCTCAATTTTTCTTAAATAGAATTTGAGTCTACATATATCACTTTAAAGAAGACTCTTTTAGCTTTAATTTGAGATATAACTCAGTTTTTTATTTTAATAAATAAGGTAAAAGTGATATTTTAAATTTACACTCAAATCGGATTTTTAGGTTAACATTGCAAAGTGCTAGATTTTTTACATTATCTCAATTTTCCTTAAATAGATTTTGAGTCTATGTATATGATTTTGAAGATGACTCTTTTATCTTTAATTTGAGATATAACTGGTTTTTTCATTTTAATAAATAAGGTTGGACCGATTCTTTAAATTTACACTCAAATCGGGTCTTTAGGTTAAAATTGCAAGACGCTACATTTTTTACTTTATCTCAATTTTTATAAAATAAAATTTCAAGCTGCATACATTAATTTGAAAAAGACTTTCTTTGATTTAATTTCAAATATAACTCGTTTTATTATTTTAATAAATAAAGTCGCCCCAACTTTTTAAATTTACACTCAAATCGAGTATTTCGGTTAAAATCACAAGGTTCTACATTTTTTACTTTATCTCAATTTTTCTTAACTAGATTTTGAATCTACATATATCATTTTAAAGAAGACTCTTTTAGCTTCAATTCTTATCTTTACTTCAACAAATAAAATCGTGGCGATTTTTATAAAATTTAACTGTTTGTTAGAAATTCTCAACTTAATTTTACATAAAAAATGTTTCTTAGATTTTTTATTATCGAACATAATTCTTTCTACAGCATACCTTAATCTTCGATTTTTTAGCTTCAATTTGTGATATAAATCATTTTTTTACTTCGATAAATAACATCAGGGTAATTTTTTTTAATCGTAGTCAACTTTTAATGTTAAGCTTGATTTAAAAAATGATTTTTTTAAATATCTTTAAATCCCCGTGGGGGTTATTATTTCTAATTTAGCTCAGAGACATTACAAGAACAGTTCTTTTTTTCTGTGGGGGCCACTTATCGGCAGCCACACACAACCCAAAAGAGTGTTCCATTAAAATAAATTTAGTATGGCAAGCAACGGGGCGAGCAGCTATCAAATGTGTCACAGTAATTTACGACTAAACAGCCGTATCGTTATGGGGCCGCTGGTGATATATAGTTCTAGGAAATGCACATGGTGTTAAAACCAGGGGATTGACACGCTTGTACGCTTTTAGAAGTTCTCTTCTGCGTCGGTGAACTTTTTTAAAAGCTTCTTGGTCGGTATTCATTTCATGCTACTCTGGGCGACCCTCAAACGTTTTCTTCTCTGAAACCGTGAAGACAAAAAATAAGGTTTCCGTCTGCGGACACTTGTTCGACATCGCTGGAGTAAACAAAACCGGCTGTAACTTGTCGAACAGAACTAATGCGAAGAGTGACGCGCCCGTTTTACGGCACGACGTTCCGTTTTACGACCGTAAAATTGATGTCTAATCAAGAGTTGGAGATTCCATGAATTCCAAGACCGTCTCCGTCGCGTCTTAAGTGCCGCGCCATAAAAACCTGATTATTTTTTCAGCTTCGACAGGGTATTAAATTTTATATCCCAGAAGGGTATCTATGTTTGGGACTCATTAATCAACTTGAAACGTCACTGACATAAATGTTACAGAAGGAGGAAATGTATGTCTTATGTTAAAAGTTTCTTGAACATATATCTAAACGACAGCTGCGACTGTATTACCGGACTATATCATCAGACAATAGCGGTTTCGTAACACTGGAGTTTGCCGTTACTGCTATTTCGAGTCCGGTCATTATATCGGATTGTGTATCGCCCAGGACGGATTACCGGTTGGACACTTACAATGAAGATTGATATGGGTAATGACGGCGCAGGGCAGTGGCGGTCCGTAAACGCGGGGGGACGTCGCGTCGTCACTGCCCAGATACATCATAGCACTCGGCCTCTTCCTGTCACCGCAAATTATCGACTCCGTGATGGATTCGCCTCGCCATATACACGACGTGGCCGATGATGTATGTGGTCGTTGACAGTTCACGTATAATCGATTATGATTTTTCTGTGACGTCGTCTTCTCTATTTTCGTTTCGGCGGTAAACTCCAAGTAAATAAATCCTAATCAATCCTCTTTTGGATTACCGCGGATTATAAACGATGATTCCTCATGGTATTTTTTTTGATGAGTGTCTTTGATGAAAAAAACTTAGATTACTGATTAGATTATGAGTTGTAGGTAATTTAAAAAAAATTTAATTAGAAAAAAACGGTACCCAAAAAAAATGTGTGTACTTAAAATGAGGGTGACATGTTTCTTCTCCTCTTTCGACAGGAAAACTTACGGTCTTCATCGGCTGTCAACCAACAGCAACACCGGCTGTTGCCATTATCCCTCTTAACCTTTTCGTCAATAATTCAGCCTCAACGTTATCATGTCTTCTCCGTACACATGTCGAGTCATTAGTGCGGTGCGTACATCAACGTTCAGATCGTAAACATATCATCGACGCAGTCATTAACCAACGACGATAAGAAGAGAAGAGAGAAGAGCAGATGCTCACGTGAAGAAATAAAGCCCACGCCATCGTCGTCGGCTTCTCCTCAGCACTATTTTTTCCATTTTCGCACCGTCGACGGCAATATAAATCACCAACTGATTGACCGGACGCGCTTTTTACGGCCTCCAGAAGACGTGAGGCCCAGATCTCGACGGTCAAGCAAAAGACATGATAGGACCCTAGGGGGCTATTTGAACTCCCTTTTCGACGTTTCAGTCTAGATCGAGTTTTTTGTTAGTGTATAAAAGTTATATCAATGTTTAAAAGAAAGTTTTTAGATACTTTTTCGTTGAACTCATTATAATAATTAAATAAAAGAAACACTTGTGCACTTTGACAATGGATAAATTCATCTATTCAAATATATAAACGAATCGTAACATTACTTAAGGATAAGTTCGAAAACAAACTAAAAACACCACTAAAATTATCAATGAAACAAATACGAAAATAAATCAACCCTGGCAATGTTTGTCGCCCGTGGACGTCGTTATAATAATATTTTTGGCAATTTGTGTTACTAACACACGTATTCTTTTAAATTGATTTTACAGCCAAAAGAAAGAAGCGCCAGTGGTTGTTCGCGTTATTAAATTTCACCGTCACATCGTTGGGTCGTTATTTATCCCACAATTCGCGAGAACGAAGCGGACCGCGCTCGCTCGCGGGAGCAATATGCCCGCTGTATATCAGTGAAGAGAAGGGGAACCAGACTGTATAAAATAAACGTTCTCTTTATATGTTGAATCGTTTTCCGGAATTTATCGCCCCAATGTATTTATATGGAAAGCAATTTCGCGCGGCGCCGGATACCTACCCCCTCGTGCCCCCACATAGCGTCTCTCGCCCTCATCGCAGCCCTCGGCAGCAATAGTTTCCGCCGATAATAGAAACATATTACCCTCTCACGACTTCAACGACTCGTAGCCATTACGGTAAGGCTGCTTTATGGTGTTAATGCGCTCTATTACCCTGGACTAGTGAGTTACTACATACGTAAGGGGGTTTTTCATCTTATACATTTTCAAGTTGACTAATCCATTTTGAAGTTGAAGGAGAATAATTCTCAAACTATTTTGGTAATATAAAAAATTAATAATCAAAACGCTTTATGATTTGGCACTTAGACGTTAATTTCTGTATGGTTAGGTAGTGGTCGGTTGGTAATCTCTGTTCAGTATATTTAGTACCGGGATTATAACCGCATAATACCCGAGTAACACTGTTGCAGCATACTGTAAGGAGTTATTTTGAATATAAACGAGCCGCTTGGAGATTTTATACGTTCTCCTCCGCC